GTTTTCACTTAAGCTTTTCCTCTGCTAATAACAGAAGCAAGAGTCTTTGTCAGGTCGTCTGCTGTTTGTTTTTACTTGTTTAAGTTGTTCCAGTCACCGTGTTTGAGTGTCATGCCAGGTGCAAATGAGTTATCATTTTGATTCATGGACACAGTGTGTTAGAGCAACTTTACACAAATAACGCAAATAAACCTTAGATCTTAATGCAAAATAAATCTAATAGTTTAATGTAATTTAGATCACACTTTTAGGTGAAAGCCACTCAAGGGCTATGCGACCACTTGATGGTTTCGCCGAACCACACACGTGCACTTCTGTTCTTCTGCTAGCTCTTTTGACTTAGCATCTTCAAGCCTGGATAATTCCACACCCAAACCAATCCTGTTATATGCTGAAGTTTGTCTGAAATGTGTTTACTGAGGGAAAAAGAAAAGTTTGCAGTAAACTTAACATGCATTCAGCTGGTCATTTTGAAAGCAGCGTGAAGGCCATTGAACAAGATAGAGACACTAGACTCTCCAGCAGTGAGCTTTAGATGGCAATTAAAACAGACGCCTTGCATAATTAACTTTGGCATTAAAGAGGACATGTCTGATTAGATCAGGCTGGTTGGTAAATGACCGGTCTGAAAACTGAGCCACGTAGAAATTGAACTTGCGTTCAGACGTCTCCATCTCCTGCTTTCATTGCACACAAGGGTGTCATGTTGGCAGATCTCTCACAGATGCTCCAGCGTCTAGTTCAAAAGTCCTTGCATTATATACAGTTCAGGTCAGAATTTATTTTGTCCCTTTAATCTACCAGGGGTCACCACAGCGGAATGAACTGCCAACTATTCCAGCAAATATGTTTTATGCAGCGGATGCCCTTCCAGCTGCAACCCAGCACTAGGAAACACCCATACACACTTATTCTCTCACGCACACACTTACACTACAGCCAGTTTAGGTAATCAGTTCATCTATAGCGCTTGTGTTTGGACTGTCGGGGGAAACCAGAACACCCGGAGGAAACCCACACCAACACAGGCAGAACATGCAAACTCCACACAGAAACACCAACTGATCCAGCTGGGACTCGAACCAGCGACCTTCTTGCTGTGAGGAAATCATGCTACCCATTGGGCCACTGTGTCGCCTGATATATATCATTTCTAAGTAATATTTTTAACAAACAACTATTTTATTTTTACTGAAAGTGCTACACAAGATTGTTTCATAAGTTTGTCTATCACACACACACACACACACACCCCTATATGATTTTCACATTTGTTTTAAATGAA